TATTTTTGCACTTTAATAAAGCAATTTTTATGTGGGCCACTGAATTTTCCTTCCCGAAATGAGCACCAGCAGGCTTGGAGGCAGCTCTGAGTCACTTGCAAACAATGAGCTTAGAGGAAGGTGGGGTGTGTGGGTGGGTGGGTGGCAGGGGTACCATCAATGCTTGGGGTGGGCTGGCCAGTGAGGAGCCCCCTATAGGGGCTGGCAGGGGCAAGTAGATTGTGGGTGCTTGTTTTCCTGTTCTGGGTTTGGTTGAGCGGCCTCAGCCCTCCGCACATCGGGAACTGGAGAGCCAGGGTGTGGGATATGTAGGGTGGGGGCATGGGGGGCTAGGATGCAGGTTCCGAGCAACCAGCATGCAGTGGGGCCCTCCACAAGGGCCGTGAGCAGAAATGCTTCTTTATGAGCCCGGCTGGCCATCTGCACCAGAAGGAGCCGGGAAAGGCCAGGGCAGGGGCCCGAGGAAGGGTGGAACAAGGCCAGGGGCCCTACGGAGCAGGGGTGGGGACGGTGGTAGCTGACGCTGCCCCAGGAGGATGGTCCTAGAGGGTGAAGCCGAGGGCACTCTGCACAGCCGAGGGGGTCCTCTGGGAACTCCAGAGAGTGAAACATCCATCCAGCGAGGTCCCTGAGTTTTTACTGTGTGGTGCGAGGAAGCGCAGACCCTTGGGAGTCGGGAGAACACATGAGGGGCGGAGAAGCCAGTCCTCTGACCCAGGCTCAGTGCAGAGATGAGGAGGCAGGCTGCCGAGGGACACGTGTGCACACCCGCATACGTGTCCACATCCAGCTCTCTGGCTACACCTCGCTGCAAAGTCGGGGGGCGGGGGGAGGCTGGGGATGAGTCTCAAAGGGAGGAAGGGAGCAGGGTCAGCTGGGGTGAGCGGGAGCGTCATGAGGGCTGGAAGGGGGGGCCTTCTTCCCTCCGGAGACCCACGGCTCCCTGCACAGCTGCGGGCCCCACATCTGTGGCTCAGTCATTTGGAACAACAAGGCAGGCCTTTCTTGCATTCGTATTCTGGACATGCCCCTTCTCACCCCGAGCACCACAAAACAAACTGCTCAGGCCCAGAAACCATCGAACTGTCCGTCAATAGGAGACTTGCTCAATAAATGATGAGCGCTGCCACACAGTGAAATACCGTGCAGCTCTGAAGGGAACCAAAGGAGGGATGTGCATGTTTGGAACGATGTCCAGGTTATATTGTTGAGAGGGGAAAAAAGCAAGTTTGGAAATAATAGGAAGAGTATAATTAGTTTTGTTAAAAAAAAATCCCCCGAGGAGTATTTATCTATAACTATGCTCCCATGCATATTGCATGTAATAAAAGCATATCACAAAGCATGGCTGTGGGAGCAGGCCACCCCCACCACTGTACTGAAAACTCCCCACCCCCTGCCCTCCCCATTCCTGATCCTCTTACCCGGTTCTGCATTTCCTTTTTTCATAGCACTTAACATCTTCTAACATTTTATATATTTACCCAGTTATTATGTTTATTATATATGTTTCTGCTACTTCCACTCGAATGTAAGATCACCCATGGCAAGGACCTGTGTCTCGTTAGTGTTCGGCACATAGTATGTGCTCAGTAAATAAGCGTTGACTAAATGAATCAAATGGTACTGGGAGAGGGTGAAGGGAGAAACGTTTACTTTTCATTTAATATTCAAAAGATAATGGTAAGATTATGGGTTCTTTCTCCTTTCTTTTAAATGATGTTATAATTTCTAATTGTCCTATAATCAATATACATTATTCTTATAATCAGGAAAACCATTAAATCCTTCTAAGAACATTTGCAAACACTGGTCTCCTTGTAGGGCTCCTGGTGGCCCTGCCCCCGCAGATCATAGCCTGGCTTTGGCTTGCCCCGCAGGGCTACAGACCCCCCTCTGATCTGCCTGTCCCCCTCCAGCCTGGCTCTTGGCTCCCCCCAACCCCCAGTTTGGCTTTGGCCTCCCTCTCTAGGCGCTGCTCCTACCACACCATTTGGTTGTGCAGGCACACTGAACACTCCCATCTTTGGGCCTGTGTTCAAGCCAGGCTAGCCCCTGGGATGCTCTCTTCCGCCGCCCTCCGTGCCTTCTAAATTCCTACCATCCGGCTAGACCCCATACCAAGCCCATGTCCTTGGGAAAGCAGAACTATTTGTCCTGTGCTAGTCCTCACACAGCCCCCGGGCCAGTCTGACAGTGCGTCCAGATCTGCCTTGCCCCAGAATCCCCGTGCCCATCTGCCTTTTTCACTGAACTGTGAGCCTGGAGGGCAGGAAGTACCTCTTCTTTGTCTCATCTGTCTCCTTCCCACGTCTCTCTGTGTCTCTTGGTTTCCCTAGCCCCCTGTCTGCCTGTGTGCCCCATCCTTTCTCTTTCCTCAACCCTTCCTTCTGTCTGGCATTCCCTCTTGGCTCCCTCTCTTCCCACCCCCATCGCTGGCCCCTCCATCAATCAGGAAGGCTTGTGCTATGCTGGATCCATGAAGGAGACCCTCCTGGATTGGGGGCCTTGGAGCTGCGGGGATGAAGGCCACCTGCTCCTGGCTGTGTCCCTACTCCTGGCTCTGCTATCTGCTCAGCCACCTCCGGGAGTCTCACTGCCAGGCCCAGGGCTGACCCACAGGGACCAGTCCCCAGGAGCAGCCTTCCTTCAGTGACTCTGGGAGTGGATCCTGGCAAAGGAGAGGAGCCTACAGGGGGACCCATGGAGCAGTTTGAGCCGGAGTTCAGAGCCAGAACAAATCCCCTGGCCTTGCAAAATATCAAGGATTGGCAGTCAGGAGGGGCTCCCAACCAGGTGCAGCATCTATAACCCTGAGTAGGGGAGGCAGGCAGTGGTGGAGAGGCATGGAGGCTCTTGGGTCCCTGTGATCCCACCAAACGACCTGGCCAAGCCTGCCCAGTTGAAAAAGCAGGTCTGTTCTCTTGGCAAGGGCAGATTCTGGCCAGAGAGGAGATCCAATGAGGCCCATAAACATGTCTTAAAATAGCACAGGCAGCCCATGGGATGTGAGGAAGGAGAGCCTCAGCTCCAGTCCCGTCCTTACATTGCTATGTGGAAACTCGATTTCCTTATCTGTACAATGGGGTGGGAATTGATGTCCAGGCAGATACCTGGATAAACATGCCACCTAGGATACCACAGCAGTTACCCTGGTGATTGGATGGCCTCGCATGGGTTGCTTGGTAACCGAGGGGACATGGATATCCAGGAAGAAAGAGGCAGAGCAGGAGGACCTTGGCTGGCTCTGCACAGAGCAGCTATGGGAGGTCAAGCCCTCCAGTTACGGTGGTCAGTGGTGACCAAGAAGTCGGTGTCCAAATCCAGCCCTCTCTACTTTCTGGAGGTGGGATTTGGGGCAGGTTACTCAGCCCGAGCCTCAGTTTTCTGACCTGTGTAATGGGGTTATGATTTGTCGTGTTGCAGTAAGAACTGCGTGAGGTATCTTATGCAGAACCCGTAGCCCAGTGCCTGGCGTACACTAAGTGCTCGATGACAGTCGGCTACTGCTGTTTTGTGAGAGAGGACTATGTATTCAAAAGTCACCTTGTACTTGGCCAGTGTAGTAAATGGCTACCATACAAGTGACAAATGCCTCAACAGCCAGCCGACCCATCCAGGGCAAAACAGCCCAAGAACATGCTCATAGAACCAGGTCCCCTAAACATTTATGCTTCTTTTTCAGACTGCATAAATATTCTGTGTTCCTATAAAATTTGGAACATACGGAAGGAAATAAAAATCACACAGTCGGGCAGATCTGGATTTGAATGTCAGCTCTGCTACCAATCAATCACGTGACCTTGGCGGGTTTCTTAACTGCTGCGATCTGCAGTTTTCCCATCTGTAAAATGGGGATAAGTAATGCCCATCTCACAGAGGGGTCACGAGCATGAAATGACATAATAGGAGCAAAGTGCCACCTGGAACGACTGAGAGTTACTACGTCAATCTAGCCACCCAGAATCACTGTTCCTACTTCCTGCTTTTTCTTTCCGTTTTTTCCTTTGTCCATATGATGTAAGATATACGGTATGATGTATAATGTAATATTGTGTATAATATTAATATATACATGTATATTAACTTCAGACCATATTGCCTACTCTTTCAATGTTAATATTGTGTCGCCCCATGAGGTGCTAACACATGGGGGAGGGTGTCTGACTTTGAGTCCAGGTGTATTTGACTCAAATGCTTTCTTAACCATCGTGTTTTAGTAAAGTCACTCTTGGCTCCTCCACACATTTTCCAGGATTGCCCCTCGTCTCAAGAAGGCTTTTTAGATATTTTCCCCCCAATTCCCTCCCCAGTGCATTTCTTTAAAAACGTTTGATGTTGCAGTAATTCTAGATTCACAGACGCTGCAAAGATAGTACAGAAAGTGTACCTTTCATCCAGGTTCCCTCAATGGTTAGAGCTGATGTCCCCACAGCACTATACCAAACCAGGAAACTGACACTGGTACTGTGTGTATAGTTTTATGTTATTTTATCACGTGTGTGGATCCGTGCAACCACCACCATAATCAAGATACAGGACTCCTCCATCACCCCAGAGACCTCGCTCAGGCTGTCCCTTCATGGTCACACCCACCCCTGGCAATCACGGCTCTATTTTCTGTGTCTGTAATTTTATCATTTTGAAAATGTTGTAGAAACGGAATCAACAGTATGTGACTTTATGAGATGGGCCTTTCTTCCCCCACTCCCCCTGATGCTCTTGAGAGCTAGTCAAGTTGCTACATGTGTCAATAGTTCATTCCTTTCCATTGCTGAGTAATATTCCGTGGTGTGGATGGACAATGGTTTGTTGAACCGGTCATCTCTTATGGGGCTCATCCCGGGGGCTTCCAGGCTGGGCTGCTGCCGATAAAGCTACCGTGAACAATCTGGTATAGATTTTTATGTGGACAGCAGTTTTCATTCATCTGGGATAAATACCTCGGGGTGCAAATCCTGGGTCTGATAGAAGTTGTGTGCTCGTTTTTTTCTTTTCAGAGAAACTGCCAAACCATCTTGCAGAGTTGCTGTACCATGTTGCATTCCCACCAACAACGTATGGGAGAGCGAGTTTCTCTGCATCCTCGCCGGCACGTGGTGGTATTTTTTTTTTTTAGCTGTTCTGATAGGTGTGTAGTTCTAGCTCATGTGTACTACAGATACACTGGATAGCCGCCTATGTGCAGTCTGCATATCTATGCCTTAAACGTATAAACAGGGAGTACGATTTTCTTGTTTCCCCTCCTCCAGACAGGAACCAATTTTCAGCCCCTCGCGGGTGATCGCACCACCACCGCGGAGAACGCTCCGCTTCTCTAAGGCTTCTAGCCAAGGGAAGGCACCAGCGGTCTGGTGAGGCTTTAATCACCAAGCTGCCTCCAAGAGGCCAGAAAACAGCTGGTTTGGACAAATCTGGTACAGGCCAATGTTTGGACCAGGCCCCAGTCTCGGACACGGGAAGGATTAAATACTCCGACCCCAAGGTGAGCGGATTCAGCGGAGGGCGGCGGTGGGCGCCCCTGCAAGGGGCGGGGCATGGAAGCCCCCGCCCCCTCGGAAGCTCAGATTCATTTCATTTCTGAGCAGGGCTGCCGGGGTGGCTGGTGTCCGCCACGGCTGTCCCCAGGGCTGGAGGTACCGTGCGCTGGCAGCTGCCAGGGCTGCGAGTTCTGGGTCACTGAGCATGCTTCGGGAGGCACTTCCAGGAGCCCGCTGTCGGGCACAACGGCTCGTCGCCCGCCCTGCCCCCGGCCCTGACTCACCTAGGCCGAAGTGCGCCACGGGCTCCATCTCACACAGGTAGCCTGAACCCCCATCGATAATCCTCAGGTGGGCCCCGCTCTTCCTGGTGTAGAGCACGACCTTAGCTCCCCTGGCGAAGGCCCCGAACTGGGTCCGAGGCACCACGCGCAGCCAGTTGTTGCTGAAGCCCTGCAGGGAGGGAGGAAGGCGGGTGAGTATGGGGTGGGGGTAGGAGGAGCAGGGAGGGAGGAAGAGGAAGAGCAGAAAAGGGGCAGAGGGAACGAGGCAGACGGACGGGCTGAAGTTTGGAAAGAGAGGCCCTGGGAAAAGGAGGGAAAAGCCCGTAGACTCAGGAAAAACAGTTTTGGGAGCAGAAGTGCCAGTGGAAGGCAGAAGGGCAAGGCTTCTCCCACGAGGCCGCCCTTCTTGGAGGCTTACTGTAGGGCTGCGATTTATTCCCTGGGCTTCCACTTCCCACCATGCTGGGCAAGCAAACATCCCTGGCGCCTCTGCCCTTGTCCACCTTAGACCCAGGGGAGCACACGGGGCCGGGCTCCACGGGTCCCGGGGGTCCATGCACACCTGGTTCCCCCGGAAGACAGACAGCGGCTGAGCCATGGACTCTCCGTGGGACAAGATGAGGTCCAGCATCCCGTCTCCATCGAAGTCTGTCACCACGCCCCCTGCAACAACGCAGATTTCACTCTGGCCATCGGCCAGGAGATTCAAGAGAGAGAGGGGCTCCCAACCACTGCCCTGTTGTGGTGCATGTGCCCCCCCGGGGGGCGCCCCGAGAGCACAGCACTGGGCCAGGAAGCCAGCGGGGAAGCCCCTCTCCTCTGCTTTCCCACAGCCTGCTCATGATAGGAAATCATGAAGGGGGGCTCTCCTTCCTTTTCCTGAACTTTTGTACCGAGAGAGTGGGTGCCAATCGCTTAGAGCATGAGGACTTCTTCCTGATCTATTACACATGCCCTTTGCCTTTGCGGTTTTTGTCAATATGTCATGTTTGCACATTCATGGTCTCCTTTCGATCCTCACTACAACACAGAGAGGTGAGGAGGGCAGATGTCGTTATCCCTTCTGTGCATGTGCAGAACAAGACCCACAAGATGAAGCAACTCTTCCAAGACCACAAGTGAGGCAATAGCAGGACTGGGGCTTGGGACTCCTGATCAGTGCTCTTTCTCTGACACCAGGCTGAATGCCAAGAGGGGTGGGGTCAGACTGCCGGACCCTCAGCCTCTCCTTTCCATCCCCTTCTGGTGCCAGAGAAGCTACCGCCAACGGGTTTCCAGAGCCCTGCATGGATCATCAGCTCCTCTGCACCCGCCTGGGGCTCCCAGAGGCTCACCCAGCCCTAGAGTGTTAGCCTTCAATGCGGCAGGGAAGAAGGGGTCCCGCGCTGTGGAGCTGGCTACCCCATCCCTCTTGCCCTCATCCTGCGCATGGGCAGAGCTGAGACAGAGGAGTGCGGGCCTGAGCCCCCAGGTGCCCTCACCTGTGCCCCGGCCCTCAGGCTCCAAGGCATCGCCAGGATTGAGCTCCTCGATGAGGGGGTCGCCATGTTCCCTGCGGATGACACTGGAGGAGAGGAGACAGGTCGTTCCCAGATGAGTAACATGCTGGCGAGGCCCCCATGGGCCCCCTGAACCCAGAGGCCCACTTGCTCCAGTCTCTGTCCTCCAAGCAGCCCCGGACCCCACTGTGCATCGGCCACCACCTGGATGCCTACGGAAGCCACTCTGCTCATGGAACCTGCCTACACCCTGCCTGTCCCCTTCTTGGGTTTTAATTTATGTTGGTAAATATTGATTTTTCTTTCTCTAATGGATGAATTATAGACAGCCTGGGGAAGGGCAGTTGATGGATGGAGAAGGGGCAGGGACACAGCTACCTTCAGCTGCCCTTCCCTTTCCTTCAAGTGGTCCTGGGCTTCTGAGTTCTGGGTGTACCCAGGATTCAAACCACTCAGATGCCGCCTCCTCCAAGCCCTCCCTGATCGTCGGGCTGCAAGCAGTGCTTTACTGCTCAGCCTTTATCACTTTCTGCCTTGTGTTACAGCTCTGAATGAATGCATCTTATCTCCCCAGTTAGACTGGGAGCTCTTTGCACGCCGGGACCACGTGTTACTCATTCTCGCATTTCCCACAGCACCTAGCACAGCGCGCGGCTCACTGGAAGCTCCGAGCTCATGTCCGTGGGAGGCGTGGATGAAGTCCAGCAGCAGAAAGGGCAAAAAGGGGTCCCTTTGGGTTGCAGGAGCTCTGTCTATTTTAAGCTCTGAATCACGGTAATCTTTGCTTCAGAAAAGCCCACTGTGAATGTCCTGCTCTTTCTCCACACTGAGCTGAATGCTGCTGATGATGGTGAGCTTTCCTCCGATTTTTCTCATTCATTAGATTCTCAGAGCCTTGGGTGCTCTGGCCTGGGTGTGAGGAGCAATGCTGGGGGAGACAGGGGGCTGGAAGGGATCTCACTCTCCCCGCGACACTGCAGGCAGCTCTTGCCTGCCCAAGTCACAGAGAGTCACCAGCGGGCTGAGATGTGGCCAGTGACTTCAGGAGGGGCCAGGGGTCCCCAGAGCTGGAACCTGTGGTGGCCAGAGGGCAGAGTGCGGCCGCAAGTGCGGGGGCTCTGCAGCGCTGAGCCCGGCCCCGGGAGAACGCTCTGTGGGCCTGGGGCCTCGGTGCTGAGCAGACCCGTGTGCGTGCTCGGGGCGGAGGGCGGCGCGCCTGGGTGCACTTGGGCGCGTACACACCTGCTAGAGGTGTGTGTGCCTCAGCCTGCCAACAACCGCAGTCCCTTTGACCCCTGGTGTCCCACAGACTCTGCCGCAGCTGGGCAGAGGCATCCCTTGGTTCAGGTGACAGTGCAATTAAGGGTTCCTAAGGATAAAGCCCAGCAGTTCCACTGCATCGATGTACTGCCATACTGCCGAACGAATTCTTCCGCAGTGACTTCTGTGTGCCGTCACCGCCTGGGGGCCTGTGGCTGTGCTTCGCATCCGGAGGGACGGGGCTCAGGGCCCATGACAACAGGGAGTCTCAGGCAGAGCTCCGAAGGCCAACAGGGAGAGGGGCTGAGGGGAGGGCGGAGCTGGGCAAGCTCACCCCGGCTTCCTGGAGGAAGGGCCAACTAAGCTGAGACCCAAACGATGAGTATGAGTCACTCAGGTGAAGAGGGAGGGGCAAGGGACAGAGGGGGTGGGCAGCCTGAGGTTCCAGGCCTGGTACAGCCCAGAACCGAACAAAGCTGGTGGTGTCTGGAGCTCAGCTGTAAACGGGGAAATGGAGAGTGGCCAGGCTGGGGACAAAGCGGGAGGTGTGGGATGAGTCCAGGAGAAGGCAGTGGGGGGCTTCCGAAAGGTTTCAAGTGGACGAGGGGTGTGGCCAGATTTGCATTTTCAAACAGCTTGCTCTGCAGGACTAGCCGGGGACACCTGCTGAAGGCAGCTGCAGGAATCCCCTTCAGAGCCAGGGACAAGGATGGAGGAGCGGCATAGGGGTGAGGAGGGGAGAAGAGATCGGAGGCATGTTTCAGTGTCAGGGGTGTGACCGTCCCTATCCCGGCTGGCCTGGGAGAGTCCCTGTTTGCCTGCTGTCCCGCCACCATTAACAGGACTAAGCATCTGGTTTGGGGACGAATTCCCTGGTTACCCTACTCTTCACTGAAAGATCGCAGGCTCAAGCACACAGAGGCTCTGAGTCTCCAGTACCTCCTGCAAGGAGCCTGCCAAGTTCCATTCAGCAACAGGGACAGGCTGGGGCCAACCATGCAGAGTGGCCAGCGAGGCAGCGGCCCCTGCTGTAGCCCCTCACAGTCGGGGCTGTGTGCTCGGGACGCAGCCATCTGCCACTGGGACTTGGCTCGCACTGCTGCTGAGTGGAGGCAAAGACCCTAACCCGTGGGGCCACTACGGGGTGACCCTGTCCTCGTCCATGGCAGCCCCGGGCCAGCCCGCCCTTGGGGTGGCCAGAGGGAGGCTGGGTGGTGTGACAGAGCCAGGTGGGCAGGCGGACGGGGGAGGTGCCTGGGTTCTCGGGCCACAGCGACCAGAGCACTAGGCTCCCTCGTGCTCAGGGGCCCTGGCGAGTGACACTTTATTAGCCAGAGAAGGAAAGCAGTGTCTCTGTTAACGAGCAATTGATCTTCCGCAATTAATCTGGAAGTTGTGAATAAGCTTTTTGCAAGGCACCTAATTAGTATATCTAGTGCCTTCGGGGGGTGATTACATCCAGTCAGGATTGATGCTTTGTTAATAATTATATTTTAAAACATGCTTAGTCACAGCTCTTGCCTTTTATTAATAGTTGGGCCCCCCTGGGGTAAGGGATGGGGGCCCCGGGGAGCCGAGCAGGTGATCGGGCCCATTTCCTGAATCCAAGGCCCCCTGCTCTACCTGCCTTCTCTCCCCACTGACTCCTGAGGCCCAGGAGCATGTTTTAGGCCAGGAAAAGGGTTGTCTTAGGCCACATGGATCCTGAGGTTCCCCAACAGCAGTTCTCAAACTTTAGTGTGATAAGAAACACCTGATGCCCAGCGCACTTGTTAAAAATAGAGATTCCTGGGCCTCACCCCTGGAGATTCTGATTTAGGAGATCTGGGTGGGCCCTGGGATTCTGTACTTTAAGTAAGTACTTCGGGTGATTCTGATGCCAATGGACCCCTCTTAGAGAAGTATTGCCTTTGAACATCCAACCTTTCCTCCCCAGATGCAGATGCTTGCATATTCCTTCCATTCTGTCACTCCCTTTTCCTTGTCTACCATTAATTGTCTCATCCAGCATTTCCCAAGGGATGTTTTGCAGAGCACCAGTCCCAAGGGGAAAATCTCTGAAAGAGGTGTCCTGTGGTTAAATCTATTTGGAATACTCCATCTACCTTTCAGAAAGTAAAAACGCTCATGGTCATGTTAAAGGCCCTGAGAAGTCCTGCAGCCAGTAAACCTGCCTGTCTTTGCTTACCCCAGGTGCACCTAAACAAATTTGACTCTGTAACTCCTTTTTGTGGTAGTATGGATTTCTCTCCTGCAGAGCTTGGCTTCTGGGCACACTTTGGGCCATGTCCCTCTGCCCATTCCCCCCACAACAGCAGGAGGCCGGCTTCCTGCCCAGGATCTGCCCTCCTCTCCACAGCCTCTTGCTCAATCCCTCCTTCCCTCCTGTCTATTCCTTCATCAGGGGACCTTCCTGCACTTCAGCCCTGGGAACACCCCTCTGAGTCCTACACCTTCCTCCCTGACTCCCAGCCCGCGACAGCGAGAGGCCACTGGCCAGGCTGAAGCACCTACCGGAAGAGGCGGTTGGCTGAGGAGCTGCGGTGGGCGAAGTTGTTGAAGAAGATCTCCAGCTCCTGGTCATTGTCAAAGTCGGCGGCGATGACTGTGCGGACCGGGGACGGCATGGAGAACTTGGGCGAGGCGATGTCCTGGCGGGGGAGATGGTGCAGGTCAGCAGACAGAGGTGTTTGGGGGTTGCAATCCAAGAGAAGAGACAGCCGACCTAACACCTCCCCTCTCACCTCCCCTGGAAGGGACCTGCAGTGGCTGCACCAAGACCACACAGACCTCGGGCTGCTTGGAGGAGGACAAGGAGGTGAGAGGGACAGTCCCATTCACACCAGCGGAGCACCTGGCTGTTCCCTGGTCAGCGTCACACACAGCCCGCTCACCAGGCACTCGAGGCAGGGCAGACATTAACATTCCCATTCTGCAGGTGAGGTGATCAGGTCCTGGGGGAGGGAGGGGAATCGCGCATGCTCATAGCTAACGATGGGCTGGTAGCCGGGGCTTTTGACTGAAGATGCTATGTCCTTCCTCCTCTGCAGGAGAGTCAGAAGTGGGGGGGTCGGGGGTGGGGGACACTGGAAAGTGCTGTGCATTTGAATCCAGGCTTCTCTGCTGACTAGCTGTGTGATCTTAGGCAAGTTATTAACCTCTCAGATCTCACTCTCTCCATCAGTTACACGGGGCTAAGAGTAGTGGCTCAGGCTGTGGGCACTGCATGTAAAATGCTTGGCAAGCCCTGAGCATGAACTAGGTCCCTGGCATCTGTCCTGGCCTTGGTCATGCTGTCGGTCCTCTGGAAGGCAGCAGAGGTGGCTTCCAGCTATGTTTTTGCTGTTATCTTGTGTTTTTTCTTGGGAGTTTTTCGATTTTTTGGAGACACTTGCTTTGGGGGTTTGCAGTATCAGATGCACCTATCCAGGGTTCATGGGGAGTCCCTAGGCCCAGGAGAGCCCAGCTGACACTCAAAGTGCTGACCCCAGGTGTGGGACTTCCTTTGAAATAGAAGAAGAGGTGTGGAGAGCAACCTTTTGACTACAAGAATATCCATCACAGATGGTTTTGTCCCTTAAAGATTCTAGCAGCCTCTCTAACTCTCAGGGCCCCCATGGAAAGGGTTGGGAAGGGACAGTTAGTGTTTCTGGGAGCGCCCCCCTGCCCCCTGGCCTGCTCCTTGGCCTCTCACTGCAGGCCCCCCTCCATCAGCTGCAGGAATGAGCCAACTGGGAGAGCTGATGAGCTGCCTGTTCTGGGGAGGCCAGGAGGGAGGTTGTCCCCATCAGTGCAGTAATGAGGCTGATTAAGAGCCTGGCCATTTGGCCAGGGTGTGCTGAGCAGGCCTTCAGAGCTGGAGGAAAAGAGACCTCAGGATCTCTAACTCATTATTATTCTATTGATCCTATAAAAATGGAAACCTACATAGCTCCCTTGGGGTTGCCCCACTGGACGCCTGGGCTTCTGAGATGGTGTATGTAAAGCGCTTAGCACAGTTCCTGGCACGTGGAAGGCGCCCAGTAAATGGGGCATCTATTATCATTATTACTGCTCCTCTGAGCTCTGGGGAGGGGCCACCAGAAGGCTTGGCCGTGCTCCTCAAGCACAGCACACTGATGTTTGGGCCTGGATCATTCCTTGCTGGGGGGACTCTCTGTGCTTTATAGGACATTTAGCAGCATCCCTCGCCTCTACCCACTAGATGCCAGTCGTACCCCTCTCCCATTTGTGACAACCAAGAATGTCTCCAGACACTGTCAAATGTCCTGGGGAGAAAATCACCCCTGGTTGAGAACCTGAGTTAGGACAAAAAGCTGGGGGCGCCTGGGTGGCTCAGTTGGTTGAGTGTCCGACTCTTGGTTTTGGCTCAATCATAGGATTGAGCCCCACGTTGAGCTCCGCGTCTGGCTCCACGCTCAGTAGGGAGTCTGCTTGAGGATTCTGTCCCCCCGCTCCTCCCCCAACTCGTGTGTGTGCGTGTGCGCGCTCTCTCTAAAATAAGTAAGTCTTAAAAAACAACAAAAAACTGAATAAGGATGAAAATCATTCAGGATCCCAGCATCAACTGCCTGAGTTCAGGGCATGCCTCCTTCTCACCCAGAGAGCCCGGGTCTCAAGGGAGGGAGCAGCTGGGCCTGAGCCTCCCCAGGTGGCTGCCTACAAGGGAGGGAGCTTGTGGTGGTGACCCAGACAGAAGGTTCCCAGAGACTCCCCTGGGACCATCAAGCAACAGGTAAATTCTCACTGCTGCGGGGGATTTTGGCGAGACCTAGGTACCTCCAGAACCATCCAGACTTGCTGAGATCAGTTTCAACCATCCTATGAGAGCTGCCTGAGAAAGCCCCAAACTCCAGCTCATCAGGGGGGTGGCACCTCTATTCCTGTCACCCAACAGCCCCTTTGAAGAATTCTTGGCACTGAAGTCTACTGACAGCCCAGGGAGGGGGCACAGAGAGGGGCTGGAGGTCATCTTGTCCACCACCTGCCATTTTTCCTTGCGGGCAGCTGTTGGGAGCTCTGTAGCCTCCCCCTCCCCCATCCCTCTCTTCCCCACTGCACCCTTAGCCAGAACTTAAACTTGAAAAGATCAGGTTTTCCAGGAGCCACCCGGAAAAACGCTGCCAATCCAGGAATGAAGCCCAGAGCCTTCACTGCCCTGTTCTCGCCCACCGTGGGAAGCTGCTGTCCCCCGTCTGCCAGTGGCTGTCTCTGCCTTGGGCACTAGAGACAGGAGAGAAGCCCGGGCTGGAGTCCATCCTCGTCCCCCAGATGTTACCTTCACTGTGGCTGTCCTGCCTCCAGGCTCTGCGGAGCCACAAGCCCCTTCTCAGCCCGGTGGGAGGCGCAGGTGAGGCTGCATCCCCAGGACATGCCAGGGCCACTCGCAGTGCTGGGGGGCAGGAGGGAGAGGTGCCTTCTTACCCGAAAGCGGACCTTCCCATGGGCGCTCATCTGCAGGTAGAGCCGGTGGGGGCCGTTCCAGTTGCCATAGACGATGTCCACTTTGCCGTCGCGGTTGAAGTCAGCCAGGGCAACACCTCGCCCGTGCTGGTGGGGGTCGTCCACTCCTGGGGAGGAAAGACAGGGACCCTCAGGCCAGTGCCCCCTGCAGGCTCTACGAATGCTCACCTTGCTGGAGCTCCTTGGAGAGCGACAGGGAGGGTGACCCTTTTGCCGACCCTGCCCTCCCCGGGAGCGGACGGGGAGCTGGGGAGCCGCGGCTGCTGGGTCACAATTTCTCCATGGAGGCAGGAGGTGGTTGTAAAGGGAACCAGACTTGCCTTCAGCTGCATCTGCCCAGCAAGCACACGATTTTCACTCAGTTTTGGGGTAGCATGGGTAGGGGACGGAGACATGGAAATTCTGGAGGACCAAAGGCCTCTCCAGCCACCCCAACGCTGCCACTGGGGTACAGTAAGTTGGTCATCACTCTTAGCTTAAATCTCTCGGTGGCTCCCCAGTATTGTTGTGTCAAGTTCAAATTCCTGCCTGGGGAGCACAAGGCCCCTGCCCACCTTATCTGGTACCCCTCCCCTTCCCCCCTTACTCGTAAGCTCTGGCTACCTGTGTTCCTGTCATTCCTCAAAGGAGCCCTGCTCTTTCTGGCCTCTGGGCCTTTGCTCAAGTTTGTTGCTGTTCCTGGAATGCTCTTCCCCGTGCCCTTGGTTACCTGGCTCCTTGGTTTTCTTCTGCTCTTAGCTACTATGTCACCTCCTCAGGGAAGCCTTCCCTGACCACTCCCATGAAAACAGTTCCTCACAGCTATTTGTTATTTGTCCTGACAGCCTCTCATTCTTTCCCTCCACTGTGCTGATCACAGGGGCCATTATGTTCCTTTGTGGTTTACTTGCTTAGCGTCCGGTTTCCCCACTAGACCTTACACTCCATGAGGTCAGGGGCCGTCTTCTTGTTCACCTGTGTTCACGCAGCATCTGACCTGGTAGTTTTCAGTAAATACTTGCTGAATGAATGAAGAGACACAAATAATTTGACAGAAGGCACCCGGGGACGTTGGTGACAGCAGAGGAAATGTCACATCATAACACAGAAACCCATAGTGTGCCTTGGGAGCTCAGGGAAGAGAAGCTTGTGTGTCTAGTGTCGCCTGCTTCTGCTGTCCCTGCATCTGCCAGTGCCTACTGAGCCGGTCCTGGGGGAGGACAGGGGCTGGCTTTGCCCAGAGGGATGGCCTGACCTCCTGGCTGCCCAAGGCAGATATGTTCCATCAGGCCAAGCGTGGAGTTGAGAAGTGGTGGATGCTGGTTCTCAACACCCATGCTGACTCTTTCGGAGGACAAACTGCCGTTGGTCATCAGGCCCTCAGAGATGGTGGGCAATAGGACAATATAATGGAGGGGGGATCACAGAGTCCAGGGCCCAGAGAGCTCTTGCCAGTTGTAACCACAGAGCTCCTGGGGGTGGGAGCCAGGGGAAGGTGGGGGTGGGGCCCCCTGAGAACTTGGAGGCTGAGTACCCTCTTGGGGGAGTAAAGGATCTGGACGATGGGTGCGAGGTGCGGGGAGAAGAGACAGTGAGCCCTAGGCTTGAGGAAGAGGCTTTGCCAAGGAGCGGGGGAAACCTCTAACCTTTAGGATTAATACCCCATTAATTCTCTACAAAACTCCCCAGCCCTAATGTCGGTGGTCTTCGATGCTGGCCCATCTCTCTGCTATCTACGAGGCACCTTGACAAGGAGCTGGTTCCCTTTCACGGGAATAATCGGTGCCAGGCTGCCTTTCACAGCAGCATCTGTTTGGGTGACGAATGCCCTCTTGACATGTCTTGTTAAACCCCTGCAGTCATTCTGACTTTCAATTACGGGCCTAGCACCTTTCCTCTCTCCTCCCGCCAGATACCTTCTCCCACTCCAACTTGTTCGCTCACCTCTGCTCCCATCTCTTTAACACCTTATCAATTCCTCTAAGTTTTCTCCACCACCACCTCCCCTTCATTTTATGATTTTTCAGCAATGAGAAAACTTGCTGCCAGAGGATATAGCGCTGTGGGGGGGGGGGGTGCGTGTGTGAGCGTGTGTGCGCATGCATGCCAGGTGGGAGGACAGGCCAGGGGAGCGGCCTCCAGCTCTAGCTTTGCCCAGGAAGGAGAAGAGGGCAAGGCATGAGGGGGAGTTGACTGGCTACGAGTGGAGGGGTGGTGCTCAAAGTGGGCACTCCTGAGCAGTGAGCGGGGGATTAGGTACTTGTAAGTCACAGCCGATGGTCTGGCAGACGCTCAGGGACTTGATGTTAGCTGTCAGCACTAGCCGGACCTTGTAGGACCTTTGATCCCCTGTCTAATCCCCGCTCACCTCTTCATCTGGAGGCTAGAACTCGTCTCTATGCTGCCCAGAAAGGGGCGAAACCAATCCTTTCATTGGCAAGGTGGGGAGGAAGTGGGTGGGGAGAAGTTGTCGAAGGACAGACTGATTACATCCACAAACTTTCATTAGGTGTCCTTTCTGCCATCCAGCAAAATTTACTGGGTGACCACTATGTGCCAAGTGTTGTGTCAAGACTGAAGAGTACAGCACCCAGTCCTTGTAGAC